ACACACACTGTCATCTGAAAGGTGGAACTAGGTAGCTATATAAAGAGACAAATAGCAACAGTCTCTCAAAAAGACAAGCTAACCTAAAGTACTGTTTTTCATCTTTCACACTGCCCCATCCCTGGTACTGAATCAAGGTTTAGGAATCCAGTCGTAAACACTGGTCTGTGACATCTTAATAAGAAGCTTCCATTTTGTTGGCTGTTTTTTCCAGTTAAACATATGGAGTGGTGCTGGGATTGGTTAGACAAGCAGGAAGGGGAAGGGGCCCTAGTTTTCTCCTCTGACGTAAAGAGCTTCCAGTGTCATGTTGGATGGACATTGGGCAGGCCTCTCACACTGTTCCGGTTGTGCTTGTCAGGAGCCTGCCGCCTGCAGGAGTGAAGCTGCCGTCTTGATTAGCATGGTGTCCGCCATGATGGTTCAGTTCATTAAAGTTACAAGCGTTTCCATCTGCTCTTTTGGTCAGGTAGAGGAATGATATACATACATCTTCCTCCCACTTCATTTCAAGCACGGTCTTTGGATTAAGGCAGTATCGAGACCAGGAAAGGTTGTCACCAGTTCTTAAAAGGTCAGTTAGTGGTTAAGCTCACTTGGCTGCTACTACTTGACTCCTCCACTGGCTCGGTTTCTCTCCCTCAGCCCTCTGGAGGTGTTCCCCACGTCTCTCTCCCTCAGCCCTCTGGAAGTGTTCCCCAGAAATCTTCCTACCAACCAGGTTCTATCCTCGTGGGCCTGGCCCCGATCAGTTGTTGCAAGACGGAGAGATGAGGTGAGTTGGCCCTTCCAAGCAACTGATCCCAATTGCAGCCAGCCAGGAAGGACTTTCATAAAGGTTTCAGCTTGTTTTTTTGAAGCTAGAATCTGGGTCAGCTCTTTCTGGTAAACAACACATGGCACCAGAAGTGAGGAACTAATTATGGATCATCCGGAATTGTGACTTTCTGACAGTGTGGAGCAAAACTGCTCAGCCTGGGTCGGCTTCTCAGTTGGGCACCTTGGTTGAGCCGGCTGCGGGCAGGCAGCTCCATCTAGAGAGGAGGAGGTGTGCTCCAGTTCCCAGGCATACGTCCAGTCCGCATTTGCTCCTTTAGGGACCTAACAGATATTGTGATTGTAAGCTTGAAGGAGGGAGAGAGGGAGAGAGGGGGGGCAAGAGAGAGAGGGATGCAGGGAGACAGGAAGGAAGGGAGGGGGAGAAAGAAAACATCTTCAAGCAAAGCATATAAAAAGAAGGGAAGGAGGGCTTCCCTGGTGGCGCAGTGGTTGGGAGTCCGCCTGCCGATGCGGGGGACG